GAATAAAGTCGCTGATGATTTTGAATATAGAATTCTCCATTATCTGATGGAAAACAATTTGGCGTATAATAAAGAGGTTGATTCCTGGTATGGTATCTATTTGTATTATTTTTATTTTGTTGAAAAAATTGGTAATTTTCACTGTATTCCTGTAAAAATTTTGGTTGATCATGAAAATTTACTGAAATTGAATTCGTTTGTGGTATATTTTTACTCTGTGAAAAGTAGTTTTGAGTATTTGTCTTAGAAGGTTTTGTTGTTTTTGGTCCATTTACTTAGCTAAAATTATGTTCTGCAAAATTATTTTGGTGTGATGTTTGTTGTTTGTATGATGGTTTTGTTACTGATCGGAACGTTGGAAATTCCGTTTGCGAATATTTTTGTGCAACAGAGGGTTTTTTTGTGGATTGTATAATTGTTTGTTGTAGCGTTGGGTTTTTTCGTTTTGGAGTTTTAAAATTGGGTTGAATAGGTGAAATACTCCGTGCTGCTTCTGTTGTTGTTATTGTTTCAATAATTTCTTCGCTTACAAAATGTGATGGAGTTTGTATATCTTGTTTTGTAAAATTTATTCAGATTTTGTTCCATTCAAGTTGTCATTATTTATAAATGTAGAATTTAAGCTGTTATTTCCTGTTCTTTCAGGGAAGAATGAATTATAGTTTAAAGGTGTTGCGTCAATTGTAAGTGGGTATACTCTAACATAATCTTTTTCAATAGAGATTATGCTAATTGCTTGACTTGATATATCTGTTGGTATATTAATAAATGATTCATGAGACCATTCAGGGCCCAAACATAATCTGATTGTTCTGCTAATACGGTTTCGTCGTCTGTATTTTGTGGTCTACAATTTTTTCTTGCTTGTACAATAAGATCAATATTATGACTAAAATATTCGATTATGAACGATGCTAGGATTTTTTGTAAATCGGGTTTAACATATTGTGTTATGTCATTATTTGTTAGGTCTTCTCTGATTGCATTTAAAATTTATGAAAATATGTGTATTTCTTGTAGTACAATTGTATTTCGAGATGTTTGAGTTGGTGAACCGCTTTGAGGTTCTTCAATTCTAATAAATATTTATAGATAAGTGAGAATACATCATTTGTCATTTTTGAGTTTGCTCTTATTGAGTTTTGGTGTTGTATGCTTTTGATGTATTGTGTAAAAACTTTTGAGAATTCAATATCTACGTCATCAGTTTGAATGAGATATCTGTCATGAAATGCTTTTGGTGATTTGATTTCTATTGTGTAGATTCCATATTGCGATTTGAGACTACATATACCTTTAAGATAGTGGTCAAGAAGTTTTCTTTTGATTTTTACATCGGGAAATTCTCTTGTGCACAAACTTTTTCCTTTTTCGAATAAATTTGCGATTAATTTTTGGCTAAATTGAACCTGACCTCGAGCTTCAGTTAATGGAGATATTGAGAATGGAAGTACTGAATTTTCTGGGTTAATTTTGAATCATTTTTGTGTTGTATGACTGTTAGAGTGTAATTTTCAATGTGTCTTATTGGTTGATTCCAATTGTACAAACGTATTGGTTTGTTTGTGTAGCAATTTTTTATTCGAGGTTTCCCTTTTTTTTGATGCTGGTGACGTGGTTTCCAAGTCAGTGAAATATATTTGACCGTCGATTTGTTGGTTTTTGTTTATTGAGTCTTTTAATTGTGAAGTTCTTGTATTGCGGTTGTTTTTCATTCTGAGATTGCGTTTCTTCGTTTTTAAAATCGTTTCCTAATAATTTGTTTTTGTTTGTTAATAATTTTCTTTCTTAGTGTTTGTCTTTTGGTTCTTATAAATCCTACTGATTGTTTGTGTGGAGTAATTACGAGGTCGTATCCGTCGTCGTTAATTAAACAATTAGGTATTATGATTGTTTGTTTATTTCCTAAATTGTCTCTTGACATAAGGTTTAGGATGGTGGGTGCAAAATCTGGATTAGTTATTCTAATGTCTTAAACTGTTAAGTCTTACAATTTTTTGTGGTTAACTTAACTTGGCTCGTAATGTTGGGTTGGAGAGAAAAGCGTATATCGATTCCTGAGAATGATTTTTACTTTCTCGTGACTAATTCTAAGCTAAGATAGACCTACCTAATCTTACTTAGGGGTTGTGTTTTGTGATCAAGGGTTGGAGAATAGTACATCGATCCACAACGTTCAGGTATAATAAGAACGCATTAGTTCGTTAGATACTATTTTATGACGTACTAAGTTTAAGTGTTTTAGCCTGGGTCATCAAAGAGGAAGTAGATCAAGTGAAGGATGAGTAACCGAGATTCTTCACTGTCTATCCTAATTAAAATGGTTAGTTTTTGTGAAAAATTTCTGTTAATTCTGGGTCTTTGATAAGGGTTGGGTAGAGAATTGACGTTTGAGGTCGTTAGACAATAATTAAATTGGGAGGGGGAGAACAAAACTGTTCTATTTGATCCAAGGATAGGCCTTGACGATCAGAAATTTAGATTTTGAGAAATTTATAAATTTAGATATAGCTTAACTTAATTTAAAGATACAAGGGAAGCCTTGATGATCTGTTATTTAGAAGGAAATTACTTAAGTGAAAACAAGGATAAGCCTTGATAGTTTATTGATAAAAGGTTAAGGTTGAGTTTTAGTTTTGATGATTGTTAGTTTTTAAGAAATGCTGTTATGTTTTAGGTGATGAAGCTGGGCTGAAGAGATGAATCATATATATTAACGATGTATGATTTATACTAACTAATTTTTGTATTTTATATTCAATAAATATTTTTTCAAGATGTGATTTAATTTACAGCTGATTTACGGAAAACGACAAGTGTTGTTTTTATGTTTTTATCAGTCTCAATAGATCTAGTGCACACAATAGGTCTAAATAGATCTAGTGTACACCGGTTTATGCGAGTTAGTTCCAGAATGAGAACAACTGTATTCTAAGCTTAATTCAAATTGTTCTGGTGTTGAAACTACAAGTAGTTTCAACACTTACAAATAAGTGGGTTGTTAGTTTGATGGAGTAAGATTGGTTAGTATTTAATATTTTATAGAGATAAAATATCATAATATTAACCAATGAAAAATAATAGTTTAGATCTGGTTCCATTTATTACAACTTTCCTCAGAAGTTTTAATTAAAAAATTGTAATTGTCTGGAGAAAAAAACAAACCCGATCATAATATTCCTTCAAATTAGGCCACAAAAGACGTTGAGTAGGTTGCTGCTCGTAAAAGTATCGGTTCTGTAGGTTCAAAAATTTTTTCATTTGTCATGTCAGCAAAATTTTTCAGACCGAGAGAAAAGCCGACAGTCAAAAAAATTTCCTCAGATAAGTTTACGGACAAATTTTAACTATGGCTGACATATTGTAAAGAAGCATTCAGCAATTCTCAAATTCTCAAAACAAAAGTAAATTATAACAGATGATTTGTGGAAGTGAAGGCGCATTTAAACCCGTAGGGCTCATTAGAATTTTGAAGGCTACCAAAAAAAACAGACATTTTGATGTTGACTACTGAGATCAAGACTACCTTAAAAAATTTGATTGTGTGATTACATATTTCAAGTTTTTTTGGCACGAAACAGATAGGAAAACTAAAAAATGGAAAATTAATTGTTTTTAAAAGTTTTCCTACCTTTAGCATTCAATTTGAACCATTTAGTTCACTCACGTCAATTCAAATTAATTGTTTGGCCGGAGCAATTTAGTTCACCAGCACATTAAAACATAATTAGTTACAAAGTCATTGGACGGCTTCTTGATTTTTGAAATACCCCTGCATTTGAGACTATACACCTGCCTTGAAGTTGAAGCCAAGTTTTTGAAATTGTTGTTTGGTGTTCAAAACAGTTTAAATAAGACGATTGCTCTTTTTTGGAGATGTAAAAGTTTTGACTCACTTCAAGGCAGTTTGAGGAAGATTTTTGAGTTTACTAAAATTTGCATTGTGTTAAGGCCAGATCGAAAACTCCTACAAAGAAAGCTATTGCACAAAACATTTAGACGTTTGACCAAAAACGCCTTTATTTATTTTAAATCGAAAATTTATTTTAAACCGAAATTGGTTCTCGTGACAAAAAACAGCGCATATAGCGATTTGAGAATTCTCAATCTTCAGCAGAACAAAATTCCGAAGTTCAAAAGAATTTTTTCGATCACTGAAGATTAAAGTCTTGACAATTCAGTTTTAATTTTTTAAATCATATTATTTCTAACCCGTACTGTCTACATTAGTAGGTTGGTGGCAAATTCTTTTCTCTCTGGCTGTGAAATATGGTTAGAAACTTGATCTAATAAAAAAAACACACTTATTGAACCACATTAAAAATAGGTGCGATGAGTGTGGATGACTGAGTACTTATAAGAGACACTATTAAGTTACGTTAAAAAGAAAAACACAAAAGACATCCCTGTAGCCTAAAAATACACTCACTTTTTTGAATTTCTTCAAAATGAAATCTCGCACTCTCAAAAAGAATCTGTAAAAACAGTTTAAAAAATTTTCTGCTCGTGAAAGAAACTGAAAGATTTTTTTGCTTAGCTTCTATCATGAATTGTTTAGCAGGCATTTGTGTGACCATTATTGAACACCTAATCGATCCAGTCAACTGAAAATGGATGTAGAAATTTGAGTTGGTGTTGAGCCTGAAACATTGGCTGCCTCCCCGTTGAAACGACTTGCAGTTTGTCACAATGAGCGAAAAGGGTGATTCATAAAAACATTCAAGTTTTATGGCCGTTGAAATAGATTTTTTTTGAATGGTCTGTATAAAATCAATAAGGTGATAATTTTCGAAAACATAACTTGCGCATGGATTAGCAAATGATACTTCAACTATTTTCCAGCGAACTACAGTCACAAAACAACCAGAACTTGAAGTTCTCAGGCCAGCTTTTTTTCTTCTGTTTTCATATATCTAAACGCATTTTAACTAAGCTAATCAAAATTAAGTCCGGTAAGTGTTGTTCGCAGATTCAACATTAAAATGGTATGAACACAAAAAACGGTTAAAGTTTTTATATAGAACTTTTTTCGGCGACCAAACATGTTAGAACAAAATTAGCTGCAATAAGCCAGATGAAAACAGAAAACAAATCTGAAAGCGTAGTACACGAGTTAAACTTGATTGAGGCGCAGTTTATAAATTAATATACAATGGTGCGAAGAAACACTCAATTGGCAATATTAGCGTTCATTCTTTTTGTATGGGCTTATATTTTCTTATTTTCCAAAGGCAGTGAAAACAATTTGGATACCAATGAGCGGGAAACTTTTGACCGATTCGGCACACCTCGTGATAATCAAAATGAACTTGATGAAGAAGGCCAACCTCATGATTATCAAAATGAACTTGACGAAGAAGGCGAAGATGAAGACGAAGACGATGAAGAAGACTATTCGTTCCAGTACCCAGCTGACAAGAAGAGAAAGAAACGCTACCCCACCGTTCTAATTATAGGTTCCCAAAAGAGCGGAACTACTTCTCTTCGGCAGTTTCTCAAATTCCACCCTGACATTGTCGGACCCGAACGCGAGTTACACTACTTTGACAAAACAGCCAACGGCAGAAACTACGAAAAGTACTTGAAAAAAATGCCCAAATCATACAGCAACCAGATTACAATTGAAAAAACGCCCAACTATTTCACAGTACAAAAGTCACCAGGGCTAGTTCTGGAATACCAGAAGTTCCTGGTTGTCGAACTGAAACTAATTCTGATAGTGCGAGACCCAATTCGTAGATCGATTTCACACGCTTTTCATTCAAAAGCACACGGTCGGACTGAGCTTAAAAATCTGACCACGGAAATTCTTGCTGAAAAGTCCAAATATATATATAGCTCGCTTTTTGGCCAACATTTCGAAAGATGGCTGAAATACTTCAGACGAGATCAGTTTTTGGTTTTAGACGGAGAAAAGTTTGCAAAGGAAAATCCTACAAGTGCTTTGAAAGAAGTTGAAAATTTTCTGGGAATTAAACACGCGTTTAAAGAAGAAGATTTTGGTTTCAACGATGACAAAGGGTTCTATTGTTACAACCCCACAAAATTCTGCTTTCCCAGCAATAGAGGTCACGCTGCGTACCCTCAACAGTTGACACCCGCCGCTAAAACGATCCTCAAAGGCATATTTGAGAAGGATCTCGAAACATTCTGGAGACTAGCAGGTGTAAATTATAACTGGACTTTGGGAGCCGATGTTTAATGCAAATAAACAGCCCTGTGTTGTCCATAATATTGTAATTTTTGTTTTCAAAAGATCATAGCTTGGAATTTATTTTTAAATGAGCTTTGAATTAAATTTCTGAGTTCTCAAATAATCAGTTTTAACAAGAGTTTATGGCATGTCAACACTAAGATTGACCAAGCACTTTGAAAAATAAATAGCAAAGATTATTATGATTAGAACATACTTTGTTAAACCGAACTTGTATCAAACTTACATTTAATCATCCATTGTATCAAATTTAAGACACGTAAATCTTTTGAAAAAGGGTGGTTTTTTTTCTGAGTGATGTGATAAAAGGATCTGAATATAACGGCCTTTTAGACATTCATAGTAAAGTAGGCAAATTTGACAACAGTTTTTTCAAAAAAAGACTTAAAAATCAGAATTTTTTTTAATGTAAAAAAATATTGTTTGAGTTGAGTTTTTTTGAATATTTTGATTAGGGTCATTATTAACTACCACATGAATCCTCATAAATCCTCATCCGCATAAATCTATGAAGTACAAAAAATTGGTAGTTTTGAAGCCAAAATTTGATCTCAACTGTATCGAAAGATACACTTTTCCTAAAAAATTCTGTTTCTTCTAACCCTCTTAAAAATTTAAAACACCAGATTTCGCCAAAAACTAGAAAATAGCTACAAAAAAGTCGTGGAGTTGAACTTAGCGTAAAAATTATACGGAATCTTTTGTTTTCCATATTTACGTATACCCTAAATGTTTCGACTAACTTTATTAACAATGGAGTAGTAATTTTGCGAGAAAAAAAAACAAAAAAAAGAGATAATTTTGCATCTCCTCGCACACTACCTAAACTAAAAAAAATTGCCTCGTTTCAAACTTGAGTGAATTCGGAGCCTTTTATAAACCTTTTAGTCTTTTAAGCTTCATGTTGAGCAAGAAATCAAACGTTATTTGAACAAAATCAAGGTAACCGGCTGTTCTGAGTGAAACTCAAGCTCTAAAAAACTTGTAAAACATCTGTAGAATCCATTCTTATTTTTATGCAAAAAGACTTTCTAGAAAACAAGACTACTCGTATCAGGGCGAAGTCATGAATGTTCGGACTGCCTTTTGGGGTCTATGGAGCAGTTATAATAACATTTAAAAATTATATGTAATAAGAAAAAGATTTTTTTTCAGAATTTGAGATTTTTTGTGAAAATTATCCGGCACACGCTATATGAAGTACAAAGTGATAAATTTCGTTCCTAGTAACAAACCAATTATGGCAAATAAGCTGCCTTCAACCAATATGGAACGGTTTCTAGAAGATACTAATTCTCTGCTTACGCTTTAATAGCGCGAAATCTATCTCGCGTTAAATATCCCATATTGGCCAAAATGGCAATCTTTGAACCCCCATAACTTAACGAAAAAATGATCAAAGGTGAAAGATTTTTTTTTCAAATTTTAGTTCAAAACAACAAAACTTTATTAATGATATAAACAAAATTCGTTTTGTCAAAATTGGCTAGTCAAAAAACCGAAATTTGTCAGAAGAAAAAAAACAACCAGAGCACAATTAATTTGTCACTTTCGTTACGAAAGTCGGAACAAAAAATCATGGGTTGACTTCGCTATAAAACTGAAAAAAAAACTAACTAGTTCAATGATTAGGCATTAAAAAACTTAGTGTGACTTTATTTTCTATGAATTTGCGAAATCATTCAGTTTCATTTCACAGAACATCGTTTTGAACAAATTGCATTAATAACTTAATTAATTTTTCCATCTTCTACCCGATTGATTTTTAGAACAATGAAAAGCATTTTTCCAGCCGTTCGTGGCGTGATTGTTCGGCTATAAAACTGTGGTGAGCATCTTTAAAACAAGACTGCTTTGAATGTTCTGACTGCCTTTAAAGGTCTATAAAGCTGTAATAACACTCAAAAAAATTAAATGTAATAAAATAAAATGAAAAACTTTTTTTTTTAATTTGAAATTTTTCTCCACACGCCATTTAAATCATTCTCCACACGCCATTCAAAGTACAAAGTGAGGAATTGCGCTCCTAGTAACAAATCAATTATGGCAAACAAGCTTTCTTCAACCAATTTGGAACGATTTATAAGACGAAATAATTCTCCGCTTACCGGTTGCTAGCGCGAAATATATCGCATGTTAATTGTCCCAAATTGGCCAACATGGCTATCTTTGAACCCCCTTACTTTATGAAAAAAGATTACAGGTGATTTATTGTTTCAAATTTAAGCCCACAACAAAAATATCCTTGATTGGTATTAAAAAATGCTCCGTCAAACATGGCTAGTTAAAAGTTCGAACTTTGTCTGAAGAAAAAAACCAACCAAGAACAAATCTTCCATTAATGTCGTTACAAAAATTAGAACAAATACAAGAAGCATAAATAGTTGCATATAACTAACAGCTGCATATGACAAAACATGTTGAAATATATTTTCGTTGCGCACAAAACAAAGACCGCCAAGCTTGAACAAAAAGACCAAACAAGTTTTCAAAATGAAGAAATGAAAAATAAATGTTAAGCATAAAAAATGTTAAATACTAACAATGATAAATGTTAAGAACTGTTTTTTGATCATTTCAAATGAACGTCTACAAAATTTGGGATTTTAAATTCTTAGTTTTGACATGCCTTCAACAAGGTGGCATTTGGCAAATTGCGAACGTTTTCACAGTTTGAACCGTTTTATAAACTAGGTTGTAAATGTTTGTGTCATTGAAAAAAATCAATAGATGTCGCGTCCTCTGATCTTGATAGTTTGATTGACTGAAAAACAAAAACCAACAAAAAACAAACAAAAAATAATGGAAAAATTCAAGTTATAGATGAAAACAAATTCTGGCTGGTTAGATAAAAATATCATGTCAAAATTTTGAATTGAATTAAATATGTACCAAGAAATGGATTGAATTAGACCAGAAGTTTGAGGTAGATCAAAAAAGAAAGCAAACATACGGCTGCATTCCATAATTATCTAGCTGATTTACATTAACAAGTAATATGAACAACAAAACGGACGGCTTTATGGCATTTATGTCTATTTAACCTTAAGGTGACAATTCTTATCAGGCGAAACTTTGTAACAGGCGACAATCCATTTCAGTACATTAAGCGGGAACACTGAATCATCGCAGTATTCCGAATCGAAGTGGAGCAAGCGTATCCTTTTTACCAATGCTTTGCTACGAAGTGTCATCTGTAACCAATTGTCGCCTGTTACGACTTGTGGCCTGTTGCGAATTATCGCCTGCCACCAATCGTCGTCCAAGCTTATTTAATTTTTTTCAGGCAGTTAACACATTTTAATATATTTCAGAAGCCAGCTTTGGCTTCAGTTAGGGGCGGATCTAGGATTTAGAATTTTCTCGGGGGGGGGGGGGGGGTGGGTTTTCAAAAAAAATTTCGAAAATTTTGTCGACCCTTTTGTAGCGCTTGACCAAATTGATTTTCTGAGCTCTCCCAAATCAAGACCCCATTTTGACAAAATTTTCTGCGCCGCAGGAAAATTTTTGAAAAAACAGGCCTAAAAAGGGGTTACTAGGGACTTTTTGAAAATTTTTGACCAAAAATCGCGTTTTTTCGGCGCGCGCTCCCGCCTCAAAATGAGTATATTTTGGCGCCTTTAGAAAAGTTTTAGGGTTCGTCAGCCAAAAATGGATATCGCAAAATAGTGCAAAGGGGGGACTTTTTGTGTAGGCAGCCATGAATTCGCTGGTGGTTTCAGTATTTTTCAGTATTTGATGGTTGATAAATTTTCAACTTGTGACATGAACTTCAAACTTTGGATACCTTTATTCAGTCTTGTATGCATCCTGTAAAAATGTCATTGTACGTTTTTTTTTCTTCAAATTTGAACCTCCTTATCCCGAAAACTTTAATTCCCGAAGTACGGAGTAAGAAAAATTTTTAACTTGAGCATCTTTGGTACAGTTTTGGCTCTTGGGCTCTTTTTAGGGCTTGGAATTCTAGAGAGACGTATTTCCAGACGAGCATCAAGTTTGTATTTTACTTGACCTGCAACTGGTTATATGTTGAACCTTTAGAACGCATGAAAATACAACGTAGTCAATAACATTCATTTGTTTTATATACTACACACACCATATGCTCACAACACAACGCATACAACTACATTTACACCACCACATGCACTGCGTTATACACTGTATTCAATATCTAGTTTCTTGTAAAAACAAATTCTATGGCTCTGCTCGAAATATGCAGCTTCCGTATTTAAATCAATTGCTCGCATTTGCGTTAGTTTTTAGCGAGCTCAAAGCAAAAAATAAGGCCTTTATTTCAAACTGACAGAAATAAGAAAAAACCAACAGAAACTTTGTGAAAAAGTTTGCATGAAACGCAGATTTTTCAGACAGATTACATTTTTATCGCCCGCACCGAGCGCCCATGGATTCTAATCGATTATAATGGATTTCCGAGACAAAAATAATTGATTATAATCCATTACGGATGTAAAAATCAGACCACGAAATTGATTATATAGCCATTATAATCGATTATTTCTGAACAAAAATAATCCATTATAATCCATTATAATCGATTATAATCCATTATTTTTGTCACTGAAATCGATTATTTTTGCCAAGATAATCCATTACAATCGATTATTTTGAAATGAAAATCCATTATAATCCATTATAATTGATTATAATCCATTTCATTTTTAGAACTAAATTCGATTATTTTTGCAAAATTTTGCGAATTTTGCGAGAAGTTTGCAGAATTTATGCCCTGTCTTTTACTAAATGCCATGTCTCAACTTCGTCCCCTCGCCCCCTCAAGCTTTTTATCCCCCCTCCCCAACTAAAGGGGCAGGGTAAACTGGGGGAGGGGTATAAACTGGGGGGATGGGGAAGTAAACCTGGGGGGGTGGGGGGATGGTAAATAATAAATAGTGTAGTTGCTACGTGTTATCTTTCCTGAAATGTAACATTTCATGAAAGATAACACGTAGCAACTTCACTAAACAGGAAATGAAATAATTTCGAACAAAATTGTAAATTTCATGAATAGCAGCTCGAAAAAATTTCATTATAATCGATTATAATCGATTATAATGGATTTTATTGGGATAAAAAATATTAGGATTATAATCCATTTTTAATGGATTATAATCGATTATTTTGTCATTTTATAGATGCTGACAATATTATGACATTATAATCGATTATGATCCATGGGCGCTCGGTGCGGGCGGTCAACCAATCCTATTTTTTTGATATTGCATATGCTACTATAATTTTTCAGAAATTTATCAGACAACGTCTTCAAACTTTAAAACATTTTTTCAGTTTTGAACAAAATTATCGGACAACGTGTTTAGAGAGCTGCAAAAAGTTCGGACAGACAGAATTAATTGAAAAGAGCAACTGTCTAGACATCAACGGAAATTAACACTGAAATAAACATAACGTCGAAAATTCAAAAAGCAGGGTTTTCACGCAAAACCTATAACAACGGCGGGCAATTGCATCCAAAGCGTCGAATAGTAAACCTTGAAACAGGAAAATTACTGCTCAGGGTGGCTAATGTTTTTCTGCGATCACTTTCCAAATTTGGAATGAATTACTCATCTTCACTTCCGTTTGCTTTTTAGGGGTGGCTCAATCTTTTTATTTGTTGTTGTTGAATTTATCTCCTTGATATTCGTCTTTGCTAACTGTTTTATAGTAAAATCTGGATTTTCAACGCAGTATTTAAAAATTAGGCTAGCATAATCATCGGATAATCGACAACCACACATTTTGAATTTGATCTGACAAGGTTGTTTGGCTTCAGACTTTGCATATTAAAAAAACATCATAAAGAACTGATTGCTCATCTTAATTAATTCTGTCTGTCCAAAAGAGAATTATGTCTTAATTAATTCTGTATGTTGCTACTATAATTAGTAGCAAAAAGTTCGGACAGACAGAATTAATTAAAATGTGCAATCAGTGCTTTTCGACGCTTTTTTGCATGCAAAATCTGAAGCCGAACAACCTTGAATTTTTTGTCAGGCCAAACTCAAAATGCAAGACCGTTGGATATCCGAAGATTATGCTAGCCTAATTTTTAAATATTGCAATGAACATCCAGATTTTACTGTAAAACAGTTAGCAAAATTAGTTAGAAACCGAAACACAGAAAAAAAAACAGATTAGGGCGCACCAAAAAAAAAACAAACGGCAGTGAAGATGATCAAATCATTTAAAATTGGGAAACTAATCGCAGAAAAACAATAGCCACCCTGAGCAGAAGTTTTCCTCTTTCAAGGTTTACTATTCGACGCTTTGGATGCAATTGCCCGCCGTGGTTATAATTTTCGAACAAAACTCTGGTTTATGAACTTTCGACGTTATGTTTATTTCAGTTTTAATTTCCGTTGATGTCTAGACAGTTGCTCTTTTTAATCAATTCTGTCTGTCCGAACTTTTTGCAACTCTCTATAATTATAATTTTCTAAAATAAAAATGACCTTTGCTTCTTTTGAGGTTTTGTGCGTACTTACTGCTCTGGCTTGCATAGCATAGAGAGTTGCAAAAGGTTCGGACAGACAGAAATAAATAAAAAGAGCAACCTGCCATTTCTGAACAGTTTTTGCATGCAAATTTGAGTTTTTAGGTGACATTGAAACAGAATTTCTGTCTGAAAAATTAGCGTTTGCATGTAAAAATTGTCTGAAAAAGGTCATTTGCTCTTTTTAATTATTTTTGTCTGTCCGAACTTTTTGCTACTGATTATAGATCGTCGTTGAATGAAAAAGTATTTTATTTTGTGTTCTTGAAATTAGGCAAAAATGGAAATCTCCGAAACAGCGCACGCCTTTTGCATTGCTCTTTTGACAATTCAAATACAGTTTCCACAATTCGATTGCAATTTCAAAGCTTTTTAACTGTCTCAAGGCCAGAAGTAGATCGAACATTTAAGACGTTGTCCCATAAATTTGTTTAAAACTATAAACTCTTGCCAAAAAACGAGATGCCTTTCGGCCAGTTTTTTTTTCTACCGGCTTTTGAAGAAAATGCGGCATATTTATGCTTGGGGCGATTTTTTTTCGGGCAATTTTCGACATTTTAACTAAGCTTTTTGACGGAATTTTCTATACCACCTGAGAGATACTGTTGTCTTCAGCTTCAATTCAAACAGACATTTCAAGTGTGATCAACTTTTGTAAAGATGCGGGGGTTTGAAAATCGCTAATTTGGTCATTTTCATCGCAGTATTTATAAATTAGATCAGCATTATCATCGGATAATCGACAACCTCGCTTTTTGAATTTGACCTGACAAAAAAACTAAATAAAGCACAATATAATGTGTTTGTATAACAAGCGCCAGAGAATAATTAATGCGTTCCAAATAACATGCCGGAGGATAGAATGAGAAAAAAATGAAAATAAAAAAATCTTTTTTTGAAATATTTGTCCTTTATTCAAACAATTATTTGAAAAATTATAGTTTTTTAAGATGATTTAAAAAACGTTAAAGGACGTTAAAGAGCACTCAGGACAATCAGGGCCTAGCCCTGATATACAAGCAATATTATTTTTTTCTAGTGTTCTTTGTTTTAAAATTGATATTGCAAAAGCAAACATCTTACAGAGCCCTCTTATCCTCACCGCACTTATACCAATTTCATTACTCGTTTTTTATCCTCAAGTCGAATTTAATTAATCAGAGGTGTGTGGGTCTGAAATCACGATGACCGTATCAATAATCAGGCAAGTCGCTTAAAAGTTAGTCATAACTTGATATTAATAAAGGCAAGACTGCAACCGCAAAAAAAATTTAGGCGCAAGTAATCGGTTAAAACGAAATATTATGTTGACTTTTTATCAGTTATAACTGATTATTTTTAACAAAATTAAGTATTTACAGGATTTATAATCGATTGCAATTGCGATATTTTCCAGGAGCTTGTAATCTTTTATAGTCGATTATCATTGATCGTAGGTCATCCAAAACACTCTTTGAATCAATTCAATGTGGTGTGAGCTTGTCTTGTCACACTTTGGTTCATGTGAACACAAAGTTTACCAAGAAACTAAAGTTTCATAGATATCCTTTCATATTAGTTGTAAGGTTCCCGCGGTAGGTGGAAAATAAATTTGCCAAATCAATGAAATAATTAAAGCAATGTGCTAGTATTTTAGTGGTTAAAAGTTTTAAAAGTGCATCATGAAACAAATCCAATGGAGAAAAAACGAAAAAAGTATATATACGTTTGAGTTGAATTGAAAACTTTTAAAACAATTTCCATATGCACCAACATTTAAAAAAACATGCAGTATAAGCAATTCAGATGATAGATTCAAGACAAAATGGGCAAACAAAAAGAATTATAATCAAGGATAATCAGTTATATTAGATTTTTTGTGCAATATATACGAAAAAAAATTGGGAGAAAATTAATCGATTATAATTGTATCCAAAAATAGATAAATTAATAACGGATTAAAATGTGTTTCAAATGATAAGAGTTTGATTTTGAAAAGAGAGATTATAATTCACTATTATATGAAGACTGGTACTAATTTTATTAAGACTGGTACTGAAATCACAATTCAAACAATTATTAACGCTTGAAACTGGATGCGGGTGCTAGGTAAATTTATGCTGTTGGTACCACCTATGATTACAAACAATTCTAGGATTGTAAAATTTGAAGAGCTTTAAAATTGTAGGTCAGATAGCAAATTTCTCATTTGATTTTAGCGTTTCAAGAAAACAAGCAGAAAATTTTATTCAGGAGACATATAGAGCTCTATTTTGATTCCGTTTTTTCTATCGTTACATCATGTTGACTTCAGATGAATTCTTGATTGTGTTCAGATTGGCAAAATATCTAAAATCTTCTTTTTGAAAATCCTCCTCCTTGAAAAATTCTCAGAAAAAATGTTAACTCAAAGTCAATTTTCAAATTCGAAAGTAATTACAATTGAAACAAGGATAACCGATTGCTGGGCAAGTAGTGCAAAAAATTGCGACTGCATAAAAAAAATTATACAATTGCTTTTCTTCACTTAGTGTCGTTTCCTGGAAAATTTTTTCAATTATTAATAGCATAAATTTTATTGCCAATGAGTTGTTAAAAAAAGCTTCCAAAATTTTTTTCAAAATTCAAAACAAATTTTTAGTCTAAAATTTTTTATATAAAATGAACATAACTAAATTGCTTAACTTGCTTGCAATAGACTAAAATTTCAGATAGTTTTTTACGGTTTTGGATCAACTTTTATAAATTTGTATGAATCCCGAATGAAATGGCTTCAGTTCGATATTTAACGCAACCCATTACAATGATTGTTTGTGGTACCTAATTTTAAATGGAAAACAAAACAAAGAGAAAATTTAAACAAATACGAATAAATCTTTTCCATTTTCAATAGCCGAAACAACACTTTTTTTATCAAATGGTTGTTATCATTCAGCTCACCGTTTTCACTAATTTTCGTCGGGGGGTGAGGGCGTTCAATTGGAACTCTTTCATGGAAAATTGGGTTGCTGAGTTGTCGTTTCATGCCGTTCAAAAGCAAATTATTCAAAATTAATTTAGAAAGTCTGAAACATTTTCGAGCATCCTACTCGCAACTGAAGGTAATGATTGCTGTTGGTTCACTTGTCTCTTAGTAAACCCTCCTAATAATAATTTTAAAAAAACTGAAGTTGCAATTTAATTTAAAATTGAAGTTCAAGCACAAAAAAAAGACTGCTCGGGAAATTTCTTGAAGGTTCCGACTGCCATTTAACTGGTCCAAAAAAATTCAGCGCAATCGGAAATTTCAAAAAAACGGCGAAAATTTTAACAACGGGGATTGGTGGCATATTTATAACTAGCTGCTTGCGTGTGTTTGAAGCCATTTGAGTCGATTTGTTTTGGATTCGAAGAGCAAACTGAATGGCCATATCACTTGATACTGTGATACTGGCAAATCCGCACTGGCAACTTCGCTGAGTTCTTTTTTCGCCTAGTTCATTTTTACGATTTCAGACTTTTCAAGCATTTGATTCATCTGCTAAAATGTCACGATTGTGGTGTGCTCTCCGCGCTCTCGAGCAATTCTTTAATTTCTGTATTAGAAGATGCTCTACACATACGTGTATAATTTTTTGAGCAAACCTAGTTTTCGGTAAAATTATGTTTTCGCTTGAAATTAAATTCGTGGCCTGACGCTACAAAAATTGCTTTGTATTTAGATGAATCTGTGAATTCGACAAATTTTGTTGTCTGTGTTTGTTTAGGACTGGAATAAAATATAAAATGAGTGTCAAAACTTTGTTTGTCAGAACAATTATGTTAACTTTTTCTCAAAAAAGCAAAAGTTTTTTTTTTATTATTTATTCGTTTTTAGTTACATCATCTACTTGTCAATAATTTACAAATTTAGCAAGAAAAGTCTTAAAAGAATTAGAAAGACTCATTTGAGCAATTATAATTGAGAAAAACTAAGTTTTTCAAGATGATGCATGCGTTAATTGCAGGGTTAATTTTGATGTTATAGAAATTAAAATCAAAAAAAAATTTAAGCAGCTTTAAATTTAGTGTTAAGTTAAAAATTTGAAGTTAATTTGCTTGGGACTAAAATTGTTTAGTATTGAAATGGTAGTAAAGTGGACGGTGTTAAATTGGTTGTTATCAAATAGCAGGACAACAAGTTTTTGACATCCAAATTAAATCCCAAAAATTGAGACAAATATACATGACCAATTAGTCTGCCAACTTTCGATTTCAAATGATTGATAATTCGCCACGCATACAAAGTTCTTGCATAGAAATTAACAGAACTGCTCGTATCAGGGCAAAGCCCTGAATGTTCCGACTGCCTTTTAAGGTCTATGTAGCAGTAATAACATGAAAAAATAAATGTTATTAAAATGAAATACGCCCCTACACCCCCACACGCCATATAAAGTACAAAGTGATAATTTTGGCTCCTGAAAACAAATCAATTATGGCAGATAAGTTTCCTTCAACCAATTTGGAACGATTTTTAAGACGGATTAAATCTCCGTTTACACGTTAATAACCGAAATATATCGCGCGTTAATTGTCCCAAATTGGGCAAAATGGCAATCTTTAAACCCCCATAATTTTACAAAAATGATCACAGGTGAGATATTTTTTTCAAATTTAAGCTCAGGACAACAATACCTTCCGAATGATATTTAAAAATTCCGTCAAAAATTGCTAGAAAAAAAGTCGAAATTTGTCTGAAGAAAAAAAACGCACACCGAGCACAAATAGTCCGTTACTTCCGTTACAAAAGTCGAAACAATAAGTTATAAATGAAAGTTTACAGAACTTAGGCCAGAAACGAGCTTAGCAATTAGGGGTTCCATCCCCGCAGGCTGTCAACTTTTTTTTTCTAAAGTGGTTCGATTTTAAACAGAAAACTACCCCAATAATACATATTCCTCACTTTCTACGAAAACTGGAACAACATAGTTTGAAACGCCTGCAGTTTGAAACTCTTATACTGATTGTTCTTGTCTTTCACTGTTGTTAATGGTTGTACTGTAGTCAACAAGAGCACTGTTGGATTCATTAAATTTCGTTCGACTCAAAAATATAATACTAACATTGCCTGACATTAACTATAATATAGGAAGGGAAAAGGAAGGGGGAAGGGCATAAAAAATAGAAAAATTTATACGAAGTTTTTGTAATTTTGTGTTTCCAAAGGACTATTCGTTTGTGTTCAGAGAAAAATGGCGAAAGCGAAAAATAAAAAACAATTTCTTACGCTTTGAGCGTAGTTTCAAGTCGACACGGAAGGGGGAGTAGTAAAGACCATCGCAAAATTTTAACTTAACTTTCATGAGTTGTTCACAATCGCACCAGATAAGTTACCAATTTATTTAACTGAACTTACGGCTTCCCTCATTGATCTTGCCATTGATTGAACTCCTCCTATACTTATTTATCGATAAAACTCTGGTCACTAATCTCTCAGAGCATATTTGACTTTGTCAAGTTCGATTTGATTTACATAGTTTTGCAAGAAACTGGAGGAGCAATAAACTTCGGAACAAAAGTTACAAGAACTGAAACCAAAAAGTAGAGTCCTGAGATATCTGAACAGAAAACACTTACTAATAACTTTCCAATCTCGAACTATTCCCTTGATCAATCTTTGTTAATCTGAATTTACAAACAGAAGATAATGTCGACCCTAGAAGATATCGAGGACTTCCCGACCGATTCCTGTCGCCAGTACAGTGTGAAGTTGACAGACGATCCGAGACAGAACACCAGCCAGACATTCTTCTACGGCATAGGGCTAAATGAAGGCAAGAGAATTAACCACACGCATATTCAGGGGGTAAATTTTGGCCCCTTGACCACCCCACGCGTGTATTAAATTACATCATCCATTTAGACCACCCATCCTTAATTTTTTTTAGGTGCCGATATCACAACCCGAGGAGATTTTTATGGTGAAAAAATGACCAAAACAATCTTTTTAACTTGCTTTTAGCCTGCGGTGAAAAAAATGTGTCAAAACAGTGTCTCTGTAGTGTTGTGGGAGAACTCAGAAAATAAATTTGGTCAAACTAAAGAAAAATTTCAAAAGGTTTGAATTTTTTTGAAGTCGGCCTCTCGGGAAAACCTGGATCCACTCTTGCGCAAACTCAAGCATGAAAAATGGCTATTCAAGAAATTTCATTAAAATTTTCATTGAATATGGAGAAACTGTCTAAACTCTTTCTCAAAGTTGTTTGCTGATTGAAAATTTGTTAACTGATTCCCTGCTTGAGTTTGACTACTTTGTAGCCGACCAGAAGAAGCCTTTCGTGGGTATCTCCAGCTGCTGGATCGAGGGCAACCCCTGCAACAACCACCTGGACCAGCTGGCTGCATGGGCGAAAAAGAGCATAGAACAGAACGGGATGAATGGGTTGAGGTGAGTGCTTAATTTCACTTTCTCAAGACGTCTGATCTTCAATGATAAAAGTTGGGAAAGTAAATGGGTTGAAGGATTATTGTCATTTTTGATGATGGTCCTATTTTTTTTAAAGCTACCCGCTGAAATAATTATTAGCGTTTCGATTTTTAAAAATAGTATTTTGAAAATCTGATATTTTTCGAAATTTTTTTTGCATTTTTTTCAAAGTTTTTTTTCTTCAAAGTTTGATGTTCCGAAAAGCCCTAAACTCAATGAAGACCTTGTTCTGTGTGTCAAACTTGGCAAACCCAGCTGTTTTTTAGTGCGTGCGCTTTCCGCTCAAAATTAGTGCACATTAGCACCTTGGAAAGTTTTTAGGGTCCGTCGGCTGAAAATGGAATTTGTAGAACTGTACCAAAAATAGAACCCTTTGGGTGGTCAGGCAGTCGAGTCCCTACAGAAGACGAAGAGGCGTCCCCCCTCCCCTTGTATCCACCCCTGCTTCCAATGATTTCTTTTGTAGATTCAATGCAATCAGCATAAGTGACGCCATCTCGATGGGCACAGAGGGCATGCGCTACTCTCTCCTGTCGAGGGAGATCATAGCAGACTCGGTGGAGACGGTGACAGAGTGTCTGCACTATGACGCCAATATCAGCATCCCCAACTGCGACAAGAACATGCCGGGGGTCATTATGGCCCAAGTGCGCATCAACAGGCCCTCCATTGTCATCTACGGAGGATCCATGTACGTCAAAGAGCACAAAGGTTCGAACGACGCAAACAATTTCTCGGTTTTGTAGGTGATGTCAAGCTGTTGGCAATGACTTTTTCGCGGTAAACGAAGTTGTTCGAGTTTAATGAACCCAAAACTGTGCACTCTGGCTCATTTGAAAAACTAAAAACATCTGAAGTAACTAAGCTATAAAGCACATATAAACTGTAGAAAGTAATCAAACTAGAAAGCACTACCTGCGCAGAAATCATTCATAGAGGCTGGTTTTCAGCTCTGCTGAAACACAAGAGTAATGATTTTTGTCAAAATTTTTGCACAGCAGGCAGTATTTGAAACAAAGTGCCAATTTTGACAACTTTTTGGCTTTTCCTTTACAATTATAAAAGTAAGGAGCCAAAGGCACCTTTAGAAAAAGTTCTAGGGTTGAGTCGGAGAATACTTGCCTGTAGTAAAAACCAAAGTAACTTTGGAAAATTTTATCAACACTGATATACAGGGGCGGATCTAGGATTTTCTCGAGGGGGGGGGGCGGATTTTCAAAAAATTTTCCAATTTTCTGCGCCGCAGGATAATTTTTGAAAAAACAGTCAAAAAAGCCGTTTTTGGGCAATTTTTGAAAAACTTTGACAAAAAAATTGCGTTTTTTTGGCGCGCGCTTCCCCTCAAAGTTAGTATATATTGGCGCCCAAGGCGCCTTTAGAAAAATTTTAGGGTCGGTCGGCCAAAAATGGATTTCTGAAAAAGTATCAAAGGGGGGACCCTTTGGGTCGGCAGGGGGTCGAATCCGTGAGGGGGGAGGGGCGTCCGCCCCCCCGCCCCCCCTCCTAAATCCGCCCCTGCTGATATATGCGTCATGTCGAGCAGTCATTGAACTATCGCCCAATAATACTGTAAAAAGAACACAGCACAATTGGTCATCAACATTTGGCTTGTATTACAATCCTCATATACCGACTAGTCAATATTGCCCAATCCATTGTGAATAAAACCCCATCTGACGCGACTAACCGTAGAAAAACCAAAATTCAACCACCAAATTTTTCCAAATAAGATCAAAGATAAAATGATTTTAAAATCGGAAATCAAGATTTCAATCAATAATATTATATCAAAAAAAAAATCTCCAAAAAGTGATTCGTGCAAAACAAAATTTTTCTTGCGATATGTAGCGGATGGATTTGCAAGGCTTATAGAAAAATGAAAGAAGATAAATATTTGGAGCTACAAAGTTTTCAAAAGAAAGGAAACCAGTCTGCTTGTACAAAAGAGCAAAGCGACGAATGTTCTGACAGCCTTTAACTGGTGTCAAACTGTTTTTGATAAACTATAAAATTTATAAAATTGGGACTGGCAACTTTAAAAATTAATTTTAAAAATTTGAGGTTCTCATTGTTAATAATTGCTATCAACTAGCTTACTTCATTTGAAATTGGAACAATTTTGAGTGCGAGATCATTCAGCAAATCGAAATTTTTGATGGTCTTTTTTTTAGATGACCTTTAAAAAAACAGGCCGAACTAGCGTCCCCCCTTACAAAAAAAACCGCCCCTGATTGCAAAAACTATTGAGAATAGTAAGTACCCCATGTTAAAACCTTCCGTTAATTTCCTCAAAAATTAGGAGGGTAATTTGTGCGACCAAAAGTAATCTGCAGTAATGGTTTAAAAGAAGGCTCATATAATAATTGGGTAAATTACCTGAGGAGAGTAGTACACCAATTGTTAGTAAGGGTAGTTTTAAGGGTTGAGTCAAAGGAGTTCCATGCAGTTGGGCATCAGTTGAGTAAGTACATGAAAAATAATACAATAGTAAATCAGGGATAAAACTAAGGTAAATATAATATCATAAATAGGGATATTATATTACATGGTACGGGGAATACTAAAAGGCGAACGTTAGAAAAAGGGGAACTGTTAATAAGGGGGTTATTCAGAAAAGTTGATATTAATCCCGAGTTTTCGTATAAATTGAAACATTATTTTACCTGAAAGTTTGTCATTTCCTTGTAAGTCATGCTGTTTTTGAAAAGTTGAGAGAAACGAGTGAGTCAGCTTGGCTGTAATGTCAAAAGTCAAGTTGAAAGAAAGGTGACCTTAATTGTTTACAATTAACACCCGCCCACATTTGCAGAGCTTGCAAATAAAGTATTGAATAAAATAGTAAGGATACGGTAAAATACAAAGATAAGGGAACCAGTAGATAAGGGAACCAGAAATTGTTCTTTTTCATCTTCATCTTGGTTTGTCTATCGTTGAGCTGATTGTCTTAGTTGAATTGACGAGTCGTAGATTTGTTCATCTTTGTCGAGTTGATATGTTGAAGGCTGAGTTGCGTGATTATTTGGTTGGTTAGCTATTTGGAGCTTGGTTACTGCGAAACTGGGAAAACGCGGCTCAATTTGACCACAGGTCGAACTTTGAATCCAGTTGGCGTTTTCAGCTTCACTGAGCGGACTATTCCATCTTGTCCAGGAAAGGTTTCCACCACTTTAGCAAGAGGCCACAGTCCACGAGGTGTAAAATCCTCCAACATCCAGACCATGTCGTCGGGTTGCAAATTGGAAGTCGCAGAAGTCCACTTTGATCGTTTCTGCTGACCTGGTAAGTACTCTCGAAGAAAGCGATTCCAGAAGTGATCTGCGAGTAGTTGGGATGCTTTCCATGATTTTGACAGAGATAAATCCTTGTCCTTGAAGATACCAGGCGGTAAATTTGGAGTTCCACGACCGAGAAGGAAATGGTTGGGAGTGAGAGGCAGATCATCTTTGATGTCGTCAGACACATTGGTTAAAGGTCGTGAATTCATGGTTGATTCAATTTCGGTCGTGAAAGTAGCCAGTGTTTCATAGGAGAGTGTTCTTGATCCGATGACTTTGTACAGGGAAAGTTTAAATATCTGAACTAGTCGTTCCCAAGAACCACCAAAATGAGGGGCCGCAGGAGGGTTGAATTTCCATTCGAGTGATACGTCCAGCTGATTGATGCTTTCCACAAATTCTTTGTTCTTTTCCAAGTTGTCTAGACATTTCTTCAGCTCAGAATTGGAGCCCACAAAACTTGTCCCACAATCAGAAACCATTTTCGATGGTTTTCCTCGCCGGGCAAAAAAGCGTCTGATACAAAGAAGAGTGCTGTCTGTCGATAGTCCTAATGAGATTTCAAGATGCACAGCTCTGATCACTAAGCATGTGAACAGTAAAATATACGCTTGGTATTGTTTTCCTTGAAGGATGATGGGAAAAGGTCCAACGTAGTCCAATCCAGTCGTTGCAAAAGGAAAATGATTTTTTGATGGCAGTCGATCAATTGGAAGATCTGACATCTGAGGGTAGTCGACTTGTTGTTGCATTCTTCTGCAGGGTATACAACTGTGTATGATACTTTTCAGCATGACGCGGCAGCGAAGAATCCAGTAGTTTTCCTGTGCTATGGCCATTGCTTGTTCCTTTCCGCAGTGGGAATGTAGAACATGGATGTTAGCTAACAGCAGGCGAACATTGGGGTTTTCACCAGCGAGAATGATTGGATATCTAGCTGATAGCATGATAGGGGCACGCGTGAGACGTCCACGAGAACGCAGGATACCGAAGTTGTCCACAAACGGTGCTATTGTTCGAAGTCTACTTTTGCCTTCAATTGGTTTTTCTTTTTTGATGTCTGAAATTTCAGAGACAAAATCTGTCCTTTGGGCAGTTTTAATTATGAGAAAGTGCGATTTCGTTAGATGCAAGAGTTGAAGATCGACCTTCGACTGTTTGTTGATCTTCCGTTTGAGATTTTCTGCGAATAAGAAGCAGTATGCAACTGTCCGTATTAGTCTTTTCCAGTTGCTGAAGCGTTTGATGTCAAATATAGGCTCAAATTTAGCCTCTAATGAAGTAACGAATACAGGAATGTTCTCAAGCCGAATGTTTTCCTGTGAAGGCCATTGAGAAGAATCGTTCAACAGAAATTCCGGTCCTAGTAGCCACCGACAGCTTGAGGTCATTTCTAAAGCAATGTATCCTCTGGTACCGTCGTCAGCAGGATTTAGCAGAGTTGGAACGTGAAACCACTGTTCAGGTTTAGAAACGTCTAAAATTTTCTGAAGCCGATTAGCGACGAAAATTTTGTGTCGTATTTCAGGTGTTCGCAGCCAATACAAAACAGTAGTACTGTCAGACCAGAAATAAGTTTTTTCAACTTTGAGGTCAATTTCCTCTGAAACAAAGAGCGATAGTTGGGCAGCATATACTGCAGCTTGCAACTCGAGATTGGGAATTGTAACACGTTTCATAGGAGCGACTCTTGTCTTTCCTATTATAAACTTCAAAGATGTGGAGCCGTCGCTGTAGACTATTTTTAGGTAGCAAACAGCAGCGAGAGCGAATTCTGATGCATCACAAAACGTGTGAAGCTGGATTGAAGCAGGGTTTTCTTTATCAAAGAAGTTCCTTTGGAATGAAACAGTTTCGAAATTTTCCATTTCGTCTACCCAAAGTTTGAAATCGGGAAGTTTATCCGTGTCTAATGGAGTATCCCACTTAACACCTTGTGACCAAACAGATTGGAGAACTTTTCGAATCCGAATTGTCAATGGAGCCACTATTCCGAGTGGGTCAAATAAAGAAGCGGTATACTTCAGGAGTTTCCGTTGCGTAGCAATGCCAATACGTAGAATTTTTACAAACTTTTTGTTATCGATGAAGTAGCAGACAGTGTTGGTATTCCAGTGAACACCGAGAACTCGTTGATGTTTAGGCGTTGGATCAATAGGGCTGACTAAAATATTTGGATCAATTGAATCCAGGAATGGTTTACTGTTTGAGTTCCACTTATTCAAGTTGAACCCACCTCGAGATAAAGATCCTCGTAGTTGTGTCATTTGTTGGAGGGCTTCTTCTACCGTTGACGAAGTGACATACAAATCATCCATGTAGATATTCCGTTGAATGATTTCAGAAGCCAGAGGAAAGTCGTTTTTACTGTCTGATGCACATCGTCGTACTGCGTAGCAAGCCACGCATGGTGAGTCTGTGGCACCGAAAATGTGT